AGCTCTGTCATCTAAAAGCTACGATTTTTGGAAAGAAAAAATGGGAATTCTTTTACCTAGCACTAGCACATTAAAGAGATGGTGCGCTAAATTTTCGTGTGGTCAAGGAATTTAGAGTGATGTTCTTGCTCTAATGAAGGAAAGATGCCAATATTTGAATTCTGTAGGAAAAAATATGTGTTCTCAGTATCGATGAAAATGCATATAGATTCTAAAACTCTGCTATGAATCTAAATGAGACCAAATTCTCGGTCCTTTTCAAACAGTGTGCAGTTTGTCTTAGTCAGAGGTCTCATTTCGCAGTGGAAAAGCAACCCAATATTTTTTAAAATTTTAACACTCCAATGAAGAAAGAACTTCTTTTTTCAACTCATAAGAACATATTCAATCATCTAGGAGTAGAAGTGAAAGCAATAATGTCTGATTCAGGAGGATCTACTACTTTGTGGAAAGAAGTTACATATTTCGATTAATAGTTCTTCACTTTCCAAATCCCGTATTGCAAATGCAAAAAATATTGGTTTTTGTAGATTTAGCGCACTGCTCAAATTACTGAGTGTGGTGTATTAATTATGACAAAGCACACTAGGGCTATCTGCCTAAGGGGAGGGATGCCTTCGTGGAGGACTTTCTAAGGGAAACTGGCTCGCATACACACGTTACACATGGGGAAAACCACGAAAACGCCCATGCAGCCAGCCCGTTCGCGGGATTCGAACCTCGGACCGAACTACCAGTGTTCAGCGACTTTACCGCTCGGCCCTCTGGTGGGCTCAAATTACTGAGAAACCACTTTTTAGATAAAGGATTTGTTTTAGAAGATGGAACTGTTCTAAATGTTAAGATTATTACAGAGGTTTTAAGTAGAGATTCAGGAGAAATTAAATTGTGTCACAAACTAAAACCCGAATTAGTTAATGGTCAAGGGAAACGAGAGACAAAAAGTAAGTATATATAATATGTTTTGATTTGAAATATTTCTAGATTGCATTTTAGAAGTTAATAGCGTAAAGCTATTTCAAATGAGAACTAATTCTGTTAAGTTATTGTTACAGTTATTTTATTGTATCCTCTGTTATTATTGATTCGATTTTGTGCTAGCTTAGCATTCTAGATAAATATATATAAAGTATAATATTAAAGTAATTGGCATAAGAGACTTGCCCCCTTAACCCCCACTTTTGAAAAATTAAATAATTATTTTAGGTACTGTGAGTAAAGTTGTTTGTCTAAATTAAGATAACAATCCTACATGTATTTATTTAAATGAAATATTGATGTAAGCCTAAGTTACAAAATTATTTTTAAAAAAAAATATATGTTATTATAATGAATCGGGAGAAAAAAATAATGCTAAAAATTTACAATAAGGCTGAAACTCAAACTTAGATTAGCAGAAATTTTGCCATATATAACCATACACGTTTAAAACTATGCCAATTTAAGTTTGTTTTTTGATTAATTTTAAATAGCTGTTATTATAGTTATCTTAGGAGTAGTACAGTTCTCTTAGTTAACATGCAGATAAAGAAATGATTAGAAACAAACAGGCATTTAAAGAAAAAAAAAAAAAAATCCCTGCAAATAAAAAAAGGAACTTTATGCTAAGAGTAGCGCATTTTATCTATTATTTTAAAATTGAGTAAGTACTATTAAATTTTGTAATGTTCAGTGTAAAATGCATACTGCAATAACATTGTCTCTTCCAAAATATAGCTATCTTTCACACACAGCTCATTTTAAACGCTGATTCTTCAAATTTAAAACGCTAATTTCTATGTTGTCAATTGCATCTCCGCGCTCAGTGGCCATCATTGCTACGTCATCACTCCTCACTGCCTGTTTCAGGGGGAAACGCTCTATGAGCTAGCCCTTCTCTTCAGTCCTGGAGTCAACCTGCACATCTGGTAGCTCTTTCATTGGTTATTTCGAAACAAACGCAACTTCCGACCACGTGACAAACAGTATCGCGCATAAAGTAACCTCTGACAACCTCTACGAGGGTAGGGAAGTGTTTCAAATGAATACGAAAAATCACTCGTTTTCAAAAGTGATCGCTAATGCTGGATACAACGATCGCTGTTTGAGCGATCATCGCTGTTTCAATTGAATGAGGCCTTTATTTACTCGGGACTTAAAAGTTTATGCGGAGGGCTAAGTTGTTCTTTATTCAAAATAGACACTATTCTTTGTTAATGCGTTGATATTTCGCATTAACAAAGGTAAACGCATTAACAAACTGTAGGTTTCTGTAATGCTTCACTTAACCTTATTTCATATTTATTTCCTAATGTAATTTTGTTTGATATTCCATCCTATATTTATTGTTATAAAAATTTTTTTTAAAAATTTATTTGAATTCATATTTTTCCCAAAGGCATCTCTCATCCAAATAACTGTTAAGTGCTTTGCCATAATCAATTAATAGAAACTCATTTTCATTTTTTTTTCTAATGCAGTTTTTATATATATCTTTATATCCATATATTCTCCTATATTATATATCTATATTTTCTTCTTGTTGATTAAAACACATACACTTTATTCTTCATCAAACCTGTAATGGCTAGGTTTACCATAATATTTTTTGCTCAAACCAGAAAAATTTTGAGAAAATACTCACACAGAAAATAAAATCTGAAAAGCACTGCTAAAAAAGTGGAAATAAAGAAGGATTGAAAAGCCTAAATAAAGAAGTTATTAACAAAAAATAACAATGAGTTAAAATAAATTTTTAGTAACTCTATATTATTCATTAGTATTTACCATTAGTGTCTAGTGTTTTTATCACTAGCGTGAACTTTTGTTATTTTTAACAATATCGAAAAAGTCACTGCAATTTAGTTGGCTATTAATTTTGTAGATTAGTAAAGCTTTTACTGTTGATTAAGCCAGTTTACCTCTTTCTTCAAACAATTTTTTTATATGTTCATAATTGGTAATATTCTTTTGATTGCTGCCAGTGTATCTCGCATGCTTGAAAATGTATTCTATCATTTAAATGGCACTGTGCATTGAAATGTGTTTTCTTTGAAATGACGAAATTTTGCATCCATTTTTCACAATTTTTTCCAATTTCACTGACAATCAGTTTCTTTGACTTTCCATAATATCATTTCTTTTGTTAATAATGTAAGTTGCCCTTGTACCAACCATAATAGTCATTTCATACAATTTTCGTTACAATTTTTATTATCCCTTCAAAATGTTCTTGTGAAATAAAATTTTAAGTATTCTGCCAATAGCTGGAAGTAGCGAAAGAAAATGGATGTTGTTTATGTTGAAGAACTTTTTAGTCTACATGTACAAATTCACAAAAATCTTTTAGTTTAGTGACTCAAATTTGTAAATACAATAACACTAAATATAAAACACAAGTAAACCGGTACATCAGGGTTAACTCTAGGGGCGACAATATTTAACCAAAGAATTACGTATTGTTACACAAGTTGACGTTCTTTAATTTAACGGAACAATTAATCGCCAATAGCGTATAACAGATGCCAACCTATTATACTGGCAAATATATCACTGCGCATGTGTAAAGCGTTGGCCCCGCAGACGCTACTTGTCCTGGAGTACCAGTCTACCCTCGGATGGCCGAAAATGTAGTGGAGATCGCTTGGAGCTGTGAAGAAATCCAGATGCCGTGACATTATTTTTTCTCTTACTACGAGCTCAGAACGCGCAAAGCAAAATTAGGGAAATTACCGTTTTGAGATGATTGACGTGGGAGCAGAGACGCTGCTTCTGTTTTAAAACGAACTTTGACGAATCATTACTTTTTTAATTCTCGTAAATGTTAAATTTATGAGAATTACCCACACAAATTTTCGGGGATTAAACAATGAGCAAATTAATTAACGAAAGACATTTTAATTAGACAAACGATTATTACATAAATTTAACATTTACGAGAATTAAAAAAGTAATGATTCATCAAAGTTCGTTTTAAACAGAAGCAGTGTCTCTGTTCCCACGTCAATCGTCTATCATCATCTCAAAACGGAAATTCCCCTAATGTTGCTTGGCGCCTTCGGAGCTCGTAGTAGTAGAGAAAATGACGTCACGGCATATGGATTTCTTCACAGCTCCAAGCAATCGGCACTACAGTATAAATAGTATTAAAATATATTATAACAGACTTATAAAAGGTTCTAGATCTCAAATAGCTTGGGGCCTTATCAAGTCCAAATCTGGCTCTGGTTAAGGGTTAAAAGAAGAATACATAAAAATACGTTGTTTCTTAGACATTTATTTTTTATGAATATATAAGTAAGGAATCATAATCATTTACTTTTTATGAGTACCTAAATAAGGAATAAGTTTTTGCGTCATTTACCCAAAAATATTACGGTTTCGTCACAAATCATTTAATGCAACATATAGCACCATTCTCAGTGTAACGGGAAATTACCTTTTTTTACCATAACTGAGGATACTTTTCAGATACATTACTTCTTCTGGTATTCCACATTGTATTTTAATGGCGAATTTTAAACTGCTATTACGCCCAACGACAATGAAATATTTGCAAAAGCGAAAGGTTAGCGAACAAAGATAACATCATGAATTTCGAGATTTAATAAATCATTTGTTCGTGGCAATTGTTTGTTAGGTACATTAAAGTTCTTGCCGAAAAAGAGAGAAATGAATGTCATCGTGAAGATCATTCATTCTAAAAGAAACTGCCCTCTACTTGCGTAACATGAAAAATAATCAAGTAAAGCTCTGTCAAAATCAAGTAATCTGTTCAAACAACAGAATTATACGGAACGAAGGACCATTATTTCACAGTTTTAGTCATCAGCCATCATAGGAAAACAAAATATTTAGAAGTTCAATAATATGAAATGAAATGTACCAATATTCAATAACACGACAAAGAGTAAAAGTAATATAAGAATTTGTACCAATCAAGTTATTTACAGATGTTCTATCACTTATTTCATTTCCTTTCAAACATAAAGATGCAGTTAAAAAAGAAATAATTACTTTACCTATATTTTCAGTCATAGTTAATTTCGCTTCTCTGATCGACGCCCAACGACATCCAAAAGTGCTCTATAATCTGCGTGAAACGGGTTCTCGTTGGCGATATGTTATCGCAATGTTTACGTTTATCCAAGGTCAGTACTGAAATCGAAACTGCTGAAATCCCGTTACAATTACAACTTCGGAGGAGTCATATTTGAAAAAGATTCCGTATTTCGAAGTCCGAACGTGGAAGTCAACGGATAAGATTATTTTAAACGTGCATTTAGTGTATTATTAAATGTAAAATAGTAAAATAAAATAATAAATGTAAAATAGTATGTTAAATTAAATGTAGCTTATTAAATGCGTATTTATAGTAGAGATGGGCTAAATCCTAAATTTTCTCGAATCCAAATCCTAAAAACATGTTCGAATACCGTATTATTTACTTGCGTATTCCCCCCTCACATATTCTCCCCCCCACACACAGCTTTTTAGCTCAAGATTCTGAAAATCTTTTAATTTTTACCTTCCTGAAGGTCAGCGATTATTATAATTAATAAATTTATATTAATTTAATATTATTAATTTATTTAATTTTTTTATCTTTTAATTTTTACCTTCGTGAAGGTAAGCGAACATCCCCAAGTATTAAAATGGATTTGTTCACGTAGTGGTCGTTTTCGTCTTGCTAATTGATTTGCTTATTAAATGGATTTTGGGTTAAATGAGCTCTGATTGATGAAGTATAGTGAAGCGCTTCAAGAAAACAAGAATATCAATGCTTCTAATAATTTTAAAGATAGTTGTTTCTGGGAAGAAAGACTGAACGGTGACGAAGAGGAAGACGATGACAATGGAGACGATAGCAAAGACTTGCAAGCTGTAGCAGGTGATAGAGGCAGCAGCAATTCCAACAGCATTTATTACATTATAAGGCTAAGAACATGTAGGCTATTTCCCTAAAGAAAAATGCCTTCGTAAAGGTCAGTTTAAGGAAAAGTGCTCGTATTCATTTATGCAGGAGAAAAATCCAGAAACCAACTATGCAGCCAGCCGTTCCACCTGAGTTCGAAATCGGTTCGAATCACCAGTATTCAGTGGTCTTAACCACTCGGCCACTGGTGAGGAGCGAACTTTAAGGTAAAAAAAAAAAATATTGGAGCATTGCGGTAATTAACATGATAAACTCGATTCTGTCAGCTTTTCTTGAAAAATGCATGGGTACAGGATTTTAAACTTAGAAAAGATAAAACTGGGGGGTTTTGAAGGTCCACTTTGCTAACGTTACAGAACATTACCAGAGCACATATTGATACTGAAAAATGAATCAGCAGTTGGTTTAAGAAACTGGAAGTAATGAGTTACTGTGTTATTAGCATACAATAGGAACCTAACAATTAAAAAGATGGCATTTATTATTGACAAAGAATTTGCTCCTAATTTACCATAGTAACAAGAACTGATGGATGACAAATAATATTTTTTCTGAATTTCTTTCTGAATGGGACAGCGAACTTGAAAAACATTACTTTACTAACTAGATAACAGTGAAGCACAGACACACACAACCCTTTGAAAAACATAAGTATCTCTTCCTGCAAACTCAGCTTCTGACATTCTGCCTTTAATTTTAAAGCTTAATTATTAAAGCTTCATATGCCATTATGGACAGATGTTCAGTGGATGATAAAGATAATTGAATTTTGAGAAAATGAAAGTACTTTGGAAGTGTTAAGTAAGTCAATATCTCTCCCTATGAATATTGTAGTTGGGGTGGGGTGACTAATCTCTTAAAATCAGTTAAAAACTGTTTTCGAAAACGCAGCTTTTTTACAGAATAAGTCTCCGAGTATTGCAAACTATAGTTAATGTTTGATAATGATTATTAAGAGCAAAGTTACGAAGATTCATTTTTAGAATATATAACAACTCACAACAGCATTGAGACAAAAATCTATAAAAACTGACTGTGAAAGTGTTAAAATAATTACAGAAACTGGCAGCGAAAGTGAAACAGAAAAAAGCCATGACATGCCATCATCACCTGGAATCTAGAAAAGCACTTCAAATTCTAAGAAAATTTCTTGCACTGAAAGTAAAAGACTCAACAGTTTTGCGAAACGGAGAATGCAAGCGAAAAGCTGTTGTTGAACAATATAAAACAAACGCAGAATTCCATCATTTAAAATTGTAATAATAATTTTTAGTAATTTTTTTAGATTAATCAATTAGTTGAAATTAATTAATTAATTAGTCGCTTCAGAAATTTAAAACTGATATCACGGTTCGTAATACACAAATACCTTTGTCTATTAAACTGAACCGGGGGCGAATGTGATTCTAAGCGTGGGTACTGTAGTATATTGCTTATCTCATTACTAATAGAAAAAATAATTTTAATATGTAATATTAATAAGAAAAAAAAGCAATATTAAATGCATTCAAAAACGTTCCTAGCTCAATTCAGAAATCGAAAGTACGTGAAGGATTCTCACAAAAAAGAAAAAAAAATTGAAAGTTTTTAATTTATATTCTTCCAAGGGGCTTTTTCTAACGTTTGTGTGTTACCTTTATTTATTAAAATCATGTTCTTCGCACTTAACTAAAATTCAGTTCAACACAATATCGCGAAGTAATTTTAAAATGAGCCTATCTTCAGAATTTCCGATACACACTCTCGCGTACTGGGGATATTTTTTTTTTTTTTTTTTTTTTTTTTTTTTTTTGTACAGTGTTGTTATTGCTCGCTTTGAAATTCGGCTTACAGATGCTCATGTTTGGGTGGAGACGTACGTTATTCAGAATTTGATGGATCTAGGTACCGTTATTTTATCTCAAGGCTTGAAACATACATACATTTATGCAGATGCTTCATTATTTAATTTCTTTAAATACAATACAGAGCTGTTGGTGGCTGCAATTTAAAATGTGATTCGCCGTTTATAATGAATCAACGCAAAATGCCAAAACGAAATTTATAGACTTTCTGGGCAAATAATCCTATTAGGCTATTTAAAAAAAAAAAAAAAAAAAAAAAAAAAAAAAAAACAGGGAGAAGAGAAGAAAAAGAAAAAAGGAAAGAGGCGGGGGGCGGAAATCTGGCTTTCAGATTTTACATTACGCCCAAAAAGGGAGTTTCTTTAACGTTTTGCGTGTTACTTTTATTATTAAATATATGTTTGCACTTGACCGTAAATTCAATTCAAACAGCATTCGCAAAAATTTTTTAAATGAGCATACCTTTAGGAACTTTCGATAAGCAGTCTCGCGCGCTGGAGATAAAAATGTTTTTTTTCGTACAGTGTTGCCGTCATTGCTCGCTTTGAAATCGTGTAAACGGTTTAATTGTAATAATAACTTTTAGTCATTATTTTATATTCATTAATTAGTAGTTAATAATTATTTTGCTTGAAAAATTTCAAACTGATATCACGGTTTGTAAAACACAAATACCTTTGTCTATTAAATTGAACCGCTTTATAAAATCAATGCTTCTGGGGCGAATGTGATTTTAAGCGGCGGGTACTATATTTCTTACCTCATTAATAATAGCAGAAGCAATTTAAACATGTAAAATTAATAAGAAAAAAACAATATCAAATGCATTTAAAAAAGTTCCTAGCTCAAACTCAGGGTACTCTTCTGTTTTGAGGGCCGTAAAAAAATTGCAGCGAAAATGTATGCGAAAAAGCGCCAAATCTAGCAAACGCACCCATTTAAGAGCGCGCCAAATTTAGCGTACGCGCTGTTTCAGATTGCGTAACTTTGTATAGTTCTATATTTCTTAAGACGCCATTGAAATACTAGTTTAATTTTTAAATCCTTTTTTGATTTTAAATCTTTTTTTGATATCCTATTGCCCATGATGAAAAGTCGGCAATGGAAGTTTGGGTAAAGTGCAGAATCACTCACTGCTTTACGCGTTTTTAAGAATTGCACATACTCGGTATCCATTTGCACATCGACCTATTTTCACTTTAAAAAAAAAAAAATCCCAGAAGTGCACAAAAATGGTACTGCGCAACCCCTTTATTTATGTACACATCGACCTATTTTCATTTAAAAAGTAAAATAAAATTGACAAAAATCCAATTGTTTTTACCCTTGTAAAAAGCGGCAAACAAATAAGGAGCGATTTCTGCACTTTAATTCCGAAATATTTCAAAGAAAAGCATCATTCATTATAGAAAATTCGTTGAACAACCAACGAGATGAAATTATGTCCGAGCGAAATAGCGATGCAGGCATCCATTCAGTTAGTTTAGCAATTTTTATATAATTATAATAAGATCTTAATATTATTACTATGCTTCCATTCAAATCATGTTTTTCTTTTTCATATATTATAATAAAAATTATTATTAATTAACCTTTCACTAATTAAAGCATGAATTAGATGTTATTTACTATATAATTCCTTTCTTCACAATTATGGTTGCGCAATTATTTTTGGAGATCTAATATAAAAAAAAAAGAAATCTGAATTTTCAGATTTTATTAAGCCCAAAGGGGCTTTTTTTAGCGTTTTGTGGGTACCTTTATTGAATATCATGTTCTTCGCACATAAACCATTAAAAAATTCAGTTCAACAGCCAAGCACAAAAATTTAAAGAGCATTCTTAAAATTTCCAATACAACACTCGCCGTGCTGAAATAAAGTGTTTTTTTTTCTCCCGTACATGCTGCCATTGCTCGCTTTCAATCGTGAGTCTGTAATCAAAAATTCTTTAATGTCTAACAAAATATAATGACAATAAACAATCCATATTTAGTGGGAGGATATGTCATTTAGAATTGATACTCTAGTACCGCGTTTTATCATATGTGAGAATTACATTTTGCATTCCTTCATATTTAATTTCTTTAATATACACGGCCAAATTGGGTGGCAACAATTTGAAAAGTGAAACGGACATTTAAAGTTTTCAACGCAAAATGCCACTTTAGGCTGACATTCTTTAGGCTAAAAAAAATATTAAAAAAGGGGAGGGAACACTTGGAACCAGGACTTAGAAGAGATCCCTGCTATTTATCCCTGCTTGGAACGCGAAAAACGCTTAGGTGGGTTTGGCAATTCTTCCACAAAGATGAGACTTTTCTTTCTTTTTTTCTATTAATGCCGTGTCGTTTGGTGGCTAAGGAACTGGGGGAGGGCTTCT